GGAGGCTCTGGAAAACCACTTCAGAAACAATTGCCTTGAAAACTGCAAAGGACTCGTCCAAGCAGTCACTGCAGAGTCGGTAACGACTGAGCGCAGAAAAAAAAAAACTTCATTTTTTTCTTAAGGCTGCAAAAGTTCTACATCTACATTTATTGATTAAACTTGCCAAACACCACGATTTCTCAGTGTGTTTAATACTAATATGTTTAAAGTATATCTTGATCAGGAGTATCCTACACAGCCTCTAAAGTTGCTCTAACAGGTTATTGTAAACTTTTCTTTTACTGCAAAGATCCTGTGCTTTCAAATGTGTTAAATAAAAGCAATATGCAATGGTTACTGATGTTTCCTCACTTTAATATGTTCTGTATCTGTGGGTGTGGGTGTGTGCATGCATGCATGCAAGCACTCACACACTCTTTATAGCAATAATAAAATACAAGAATAAGATTTATCAGTTATGTTATATAGCATAAGAAACTGCACTAGTAACTTTACACAACTGCATATAACATTCATGTGCACAGAGTAAAAGACAAGAAGAAAAGAGTGAATTAAAGGTAGAGCCTTCAGCTTGTAAACTTTATAGATTTTAGGTGAACTAAGTTAATCTGTCTGTATATGATGTATTTTAATACTATATCAATTCTAGCCTACATGAATGAAAATGTGTACAAAGGCTACCAGTACCACAGTTATCTCATTAAATGGGTACAATTAAATAAGCGACTACAACAACACTACAATTATATTCACTTTCTGCTCGGTAATTTGGTGTATCTATTGGTACTGGATGAAGAAATATAGCACATTACTGATAAGGAAATCCAGATTCCTGGAAATTATATAAATAATATTTGCAAAATTATTCAATCACATATGCTGTGCTAGACAATAGCGGACGAAAATGCTGTTGAAAATACCCCCTCACCAAAGATAGTTCATTAGGGGCTCTGAGTTTGGGGAAAGAAGAGTGCTCTTCAAACTTAAAAGAACTGCCCCTGTACTTGGGATAGCCTGTTCAGTTGGAAGATCTACTTTGGAAATTGCTATTTGGTAGAGAAAAAAGACAGAAATTAAACAATTAAGTAAAGTAGTAACAAAACAGATAACAGAGTCCAAAGTGCGTGGAAGTATAGGAACAAAGGATAAGGTTCTAGACAGCCTCATTTGCCATTCTTTTGTGCTCTTTTGTCAACCTGTGGATCCTTTAAGTCCATTCTTATTCCACTGAAGGCAGATTCCCTTTCCTCCTTGTTTACATCCATTGTGGGAATTTTGCATTTTTTTCCGCCAAATCAAAGAAAGGAACAGGGAAGAAGAGAGTCAAATAGCTTTACAAAGCATCAACACAAGAGGTGGAATACTTCTTAGAAACATAGGCACTGAAATGTATGGAACTTTTGTACTCAGATCCCACAGTAATTTCATGCAAGAATGTCCAGTATAATGCTGCCACACCATTAAAAAATAAAGTGTCTTATGAACTAGCTAAAAAGCTTGTATGCTGTCTTGCATGAGAAGCTACAGTCAGGTCCAGAAATATTGGGACGTCGACACAATTCTAACATCTTTGGCTCTAT